TATATATATTTAGGTTCATGTGAGAATGTAATCTTAGTAGAGCAAAAAAGAATAGATATCAACCATTGGATTAGATTTTAATTAACCGTGTGCCTAAATAATCCTAGAGGGTAATCAAGTCAATTCCGTTAATACGTTCCAACGTTTTCTAAGTTCACGTTGCATGTTTCCTTCCTTAACTGTTCCTCCACGATTCTTTCTGGACTTATCTTCCTCCTGCGAGATTCTTCCTCCTGCGAGACTCTTCCTCTTGCGTTCTTCTCTCCTTGTGTGAACGTATTGTTGGAAATTCATCTGACAGAGAACATATTGATCGTATTTTGTTGCTCTATTTTTCCTTTTCGAGTTTGAACCTAAGGTACTCTGTTTGGTGCTCCATCTGTTGTGGGTTTTCTGCTCCAGCCTAACGTTCTTCCATGGAGTTCAGTAAGTATCATTTATTTGATTTTGCTCATTGTTTAAACAATCCAAGTTTTACGTTCTTGGATGAATATAAGTGTAAATATGATTTCTTTTTGGATTGACATACTATACAAATTGGACATGGTACTCTAGAATTTTGATGTCTGATTCTTACGTTGTTTCAATATCGTAAACGTCATGCGTCTGTAGTTTACCGTTTCCTGATGTATATCAATCATGTATGTAAAAACTCTATTATGTAAAAACTCAATTTTTACTATTTTGTAGTGCACTATAAAGTGTATTATGATGCATATGCGTTTGGATATTGCACTTTTTCTCTAGTTGCTTTGTGCAAGGCATGTGTTTTTTAATAATTTTTGTGCATGTAGCTTAATGCTTCTTAACGTATATCAATCTTTAAAAAATGGGGTTGTATTCATATAAAAATTTCTGATTTTTTTTGTTTGTGCACTTTAAAGTTTATTATGATGCTATTATATGCGTTCTGATATTGCACTTTTACTGTTCTCTAGGTGCTAAAGTATGTGTTTGTGAATTATTTGTGTGCATGGTTTAATCAGGTTCAAGTGATGTTAACTACAGTGCCTCTGCAGCAATTTCTCAATCGTTTGATGTTAATACAATGCAAGTTTCTACGGGATCCACTATGTATTGGACACCTGATTGTGACCCTGCTTTTAAACCGCATGTTGGTATGTTGTTCAATAACTTACAAGATGGTATGCGCTTTTATGATCAATATGTATCAATTTGTGGTTTTGAATCACATAAACGTAGGCAACATAGGGCTCGTGATGGGTTTATTGTTTGGAAACATATGGTGTGTAATAGGCGGGGCTTCAAAAATGTATCTAAAGCTAAGACGGTTGCATCTAACAGTAATTCCTGTAAGAATGTTGATTTAGATAATCAGCTTAGTAATGAAAATGAAGATTTCACTACTGAAAATGAATCTGATGGATCTGAAAATGAAGACCAACCGCACGGTGAAGATTTACCAACTTCGGGCGTATGTGTTGATGATGATGAGAAAAAAGACGCACAGTTTCTAATAGGTGTGATTGCAAAGCACATGTGGTGTTTAGGCTTGCAGGCATGAATGGATACAAAATTACATTCTTTGAGGAGAGGCATAAGCATTGTATGTCTTCTTCTTCTTCGATGCCATTTTTAAAAGTGAATAGGATGCTTGACATTGGTCATCAAAAAATTCTTAATTGTGCTAAAGCAAATATCGGTACAATGAAATGCTACCGATTATATAAAGAAACTGTTGGGGGTTATGCCAATATTGGTGCTACGTCCGTGGACTTTGAGAATTTTAAACGTGACTTGAAGGCTTATCTAGTGGGCGTGGATGCCCAAAAGAGAATTGTTCAGCCTTTTCATTTGACTATGATGTTGATGAGAGTGACTAGTTGACACGTATATTTTGGGCGGATCCAGTGTGCATAAAGAACTATGCTTTATTCGGGGATGTTGTTTCCTTTGATGCTACATATGAGACAAACAGGTATTGCTATAATTAATTATTCCATTGATTTATTTTATTTGTTGTATGATTCTTTTCATGTTACAATATTGTTTCCTGTATGCTTTGTATTAAAAAGTAATGGTAATGCACGTTTTAAAATTAAAGTATTCATTGTATTTCTGATTTGAATTAAAAAAATAATGTTAATGCACGTTTTAATATTATTCAATGCACTTCTGAATTTTTCAGTCGCAACGCAGGTATAACATGGTTTTTGCCCCTTTCACTGGCATTGATAATCACAAAAAGTGCATTACTTTTGATGTGGGTTTGTTGTTGAAAGAAGATGTGGAATCTTATGTTTGGCTGTTTCGTTGTTTTTTAAATGCAATGGGTCAGGAACCAAAGTGCATCATAACACATCAAGACCCATCCATGAAAATTGTCATTCCACAGGTCTTCACTACAGCATGTCACGGATTTTGTATGTGGCATATTATGTCCAAGGTGAGTTCGAAAGTTGGACCGGTTTTGAGTAAAGATTTCAATTTTATGAAGGAATTGAATTCTATTGTATGGAGTCATTACTTGCAGTCAACTGAATTTGAGATGAGATGGACTAATTTGATGAAAGAATATGACTCAATTCATCATAATTGATTCTCGCACATGTTTGAGATTAGGAGGCTTTGGATTCCTACTTATTTTGGTGACATTTTCATGGCGGGTTTGCTTAGGACTACATCACGTTCTGAGAGTGAAAATAATTTTTTCAATGAATTCACAAATCCTAGTTTCAGTTTGATTGAGTTTTATATGCAGTTTGAGAGTGCAATGGATTCACAAAGACATAAGAGTGCACAATTGACCAAAGTTTCTGAGTCCCCCATTCCTGAGTACAAGACTCCGTTACGTATTGACAGATATGCTTCCTCTATTTATAATCATTCAATTTTTTATCTCGTTCAGAAGGAAATATGTTGTGCCTGCTCCTCTTGTGATGTTCTTAGTCTCGAACATGAAGGTTGCGTGTTTAAGTATATCATATCAAATGAACGAGGTTTTAATTTCACTGTTGTGCACAATACTAGTGACAGTACTACACTTTGCTCCTGCAAACATTTTGAAAGGCTAGGGATGTTGTATCGTCACATATTTTATGTTTTGAAAGATAAGAAGGTCAATGCAATTCCAGATAGGTATGTGCTACGTCGATGGTGCAAAGATTCAATTCTAAAGCCTGTTAATGCATTTGAAGATGCTGTTTTTCAGCAGTGTGTTGGCACTGAAGAACAAACCCTAACTATGAATACATTGTGGTCTCATATTAATTTTTGTATTGGAATGATTGACCCGCGACCTCATTTGTTGAAGCAGTTTTCAGATGCAATTACGGTGCAAAAAGAATTACTGTCTAGCTCTCAAACAAATAGTGCAGAAATATCTTCAAAAAGATATGTCATCAAAGGCTTTTATGGGTCATCCATTCCTACTGAAGTAAGCGTGCATCCACCTCAGCAGGCTCGAAATAAGGGTTGTGGTAAGAGGCTTAAAGGTGGTAAGGAGAAGGCAATTGAAGTGACCCAAAAGACTAAGACATTATGTAGAACATGTAATAAAAAAGGGTATCATGAGAGTATGAATTGACTTTTGAACTTGGAGGAATAATCATTTTTTTTTATTCATGTTTACTAATTGTTTTTGAACTTGGAGGAATGATTTCACCTTTTTATTTTTTTAGTAATTGTCATTTTAACCCGTACGAATGATTATTCTTTTAATATATTGGTTCTAATTTTTTTTTTGTATTACTGAAGGTTATAAATTACTATTGGTTGTGAAGTATGTACTTAGTTGTTAGCAAAACTTTATGTTCACTTTATTTTTGTTTTTGTGTCAATTTGTTTCCTCCAACTTTCTAAAAAAAATATAACCCTATGCATTGCAGTGTTATCACCTAATCGTTCATTGTTTTTACCCAATAGTGCATTGTTAAAATAATTTTTTTCTATTTTGAAAAAAATAATACAATACATATGAAAATGCATTGTTATCACCACATCGTGTAGTGAAAAATACATATCACAGTGCACTTGAAGTACATATCAATATACTTTACGCACTTTAAGTACTTTAAATAATACATGTTACAGATATTTTAGTGCATAGTATTGATTGAATAGTGCACAGTTTTAATCAAATACTTCAATGGTTTAATCAAATTGTGCATATCTAAAAAAACAAATACCCACATAATAATACATATGCACGATTACTTTTAAAAAGTGCATAAGTTGAGCCTAAATGCTTTCATATAACATCGTAATTCAACTCACAGAATAACGTCGAAATGAAATTATGTCAATCCAAACAAACCAAATTGTGTTGGTAACCAACAAAATCAAATTATCCATTGCATTAATGTCACCAATATGTGTTCATAATCAACAAATAAGTCATATGCAATTGTCAAAACAATGCCACTGAAACTTCAAAACTTAGTTTTGAATACTAACCTATTTAATGTGCTTCTAACCACAAAATGAACGTGCAAGCCATTGCACATTTCAAAACGACAACCGTTTCTAAATAAAAATTCTTGCAAGAAACACAGTAAATACAGAGTGCTAAAGTATTCTTTCACGTCTACTTCATCAAATTATTCCCCTTCCTAAATTCTTTCACCGGATGCAAGTGCTTATCCTTGACCTCGTTAATACCTGATGTCAAAATTGATGCACAATATTTCATTATCAATGCATTGAGTGCCTTTGCATCACCTTTTTTCACTCCACAATCCCATCCTCTAGTCCTTTGGTCCATGTACGTCTCCATATGTCTCATGCTACACACTCCATGATCATACACATTCCTCGGTTCCCTCCACCTCATCTTCAATCTTGTCAAAGCAGGTGTGTAAAATGTGTTATCGTCCCTATCCAGTTCCATTTCGCTCAAGAAATCAACAAACATGTCTCTCTATTTTCAACATTTACAACGAATAGTTTATTAAATGAAAATATACATAACTTGTTTAAACCATAATATACACTCAAACTTTCATTTTATGTGTATTGTGCACTAAACTCACCAGGGAATACGACATTTCACCATACTTTTCGTCAAAGTGCATGTCCACCGACAAGTTGTCCAACACTTCGACCTGCTGCTTTTTCATGTTCAAAACCACAACATAACAATGTTCTGGTTAAACAATTAGAAAGAAGAACTGCACATTGAAGACATTTCACTATAATATACATACGATTGCACTAAAAGAAATTATTTGTGCATACAAGTATAAATGATATTTACCAAATCAACATCTTCCATTTTGACATCAGGTTTAACTGATTCCAATGTCATCTCCATTCCTTCTTTAAACACTTCGTAAGACTTGTTTTTTGGGATTCGGCCTGCCATTGTGTACAGCTGCAAAAACTTTTATCATAATATGCACTTTCGTAACCAAATTAATGCATTTGTATTCATAACAATTACACAGGGATATGATTTCACAAACAATCTGCAAGGTGATGTTTTACTTCATGGTTTCTCATTATTATTCAAGCAGATTGTCCACGCATCTAACACATTCATGTGCACGTGCTTTTTATCCACTAGGCTAAGCATGTCACCCCGCGTCACTGAAACATATTTGTACTTGAACAGAATCTCACTCCTAATTGTGCACAAAACAATACATAACTTATTTTTATGTTTAACACTAACATTATAAAGTTTTATACTTGACAACGTTTTATTATATGTTACACCTCTTATCATCCCCTTGTTGCATCACTCATTTCCACATCAACTTTTCACTTGCGTATGAGGTCTGATTAGGGTCAACTGCTCGCGCCATAAAAGGAGACTTCGTAACTTCAGCTGCCTTTCTTCTCCTTGTTGATATCAATTGCAATTCTCTTTTTCCTATAACCAAAGCAGTGCTTGTGTCCTTTTTCGTCGGTTCCTTGTTCTGCAATTTAAATGCACTTTTCAATGACATGTCATTATTCTTTAAGATGTATGCTACCACAAAATAACATACAACCTACGATCTTTAGCTATTAAAAAACAATCAAGTTTTCCATTCATAAATATGTAAACGTTAATTACCTCAACAATCTTTGCCTTCCCCTTCACATCCACAGATTTCACACCGCTCTCTACTCGAACCTTCAAAAAAATATAAAATAATGATACTTATTTTAGTTTACATTATTAATATGAAATGCTAAAATTATTAATACTTTATGCATAGTCACACCTAACTAATTCCAAATACTTTGAAACTATTTAAAGTTTACTTACTACACCAATTTTTTCCTTCCCCTTCACACTCTTACTTCTAACATCTCCATCTTCATGAACCTTCATAAAAGTTAAAATAAAGATACTACTATAGTTTTAAACAGTAAGTATTATATGCTCAAATTAATAGTAAACAACGTATAAACCGCCTAACCTAATGCACATTTGCAACTTCTTAATTTTTATAAAAAAATGAATAATCTAAAAATATATCTACTCTATTTACGTCCACAAAATTTTCTGTCACAATTGCTTCCTTCCCCTTCTCCGTCTCCCTTGTCACATTCTCTTCTCCTTGAACCTTCAAAAAATGTAAAAATATTACATTATGTATTAAAAACCATTAAATATAATATGAGTTAGCGTTTATGTGTATACCAAATCATCATTCACTTCCTTCTCAATTTTTGCGCACAAATCAGATATGCTGCTAAACTACTTTTCATTTTCTTGTGTCAACCCAATTGAAAAATGAGTATCTTCAATTCCTTTCTCGTATAAAGACTTTTTCTGATTAGCATTTTCCACCCTCTCCACTGCAGCAATGGTTTCAGCCCAGAATGCATCATCTTCTCTCTCTCGAGTACTTCTTGCATCAGTTTCTTCTCTACGATCAACTGGTCTTTTATTCTTCCCTACACCAATCAATTCTTGTGCAGCTTCTTGGATCCTTATGAAATTTTTTTTAGTTAAGCTCTTAGGTGCTTCTTCAAACATCTTGAGCACATCAATCACAGCTGATGTCAACAGTTTGCTTTTATGTGCAAATCTCTTAACGTATTCTTGTTTTTATACATTCAAGTTAATTCCCCTTTCATTTGAACACTTGCACACAAATAGATGCTAAATTTAGGAAAACAGAATCAGAAATTTAGTTAACCTTATCTCATCATTGTCACCACCAGTAGACTGCACATCTACTCCATGTCCACTTCCACCTTCATGATCTCTTTCTTTCCTAGTTTTTAATTCAACCTTCTCCGAACACTCTTCAAATATCATCGGGCCATCATAGTACCCCATCCCGAAGCTGCCACTCTCTATTTCAAGCAATTCTCGCTCTCTAAGAAGCTTTCCATTCCATCCTTTGAGCACAGGTAAAGACCAAAATGCACCTCGTTTCCATTCTTCAGCACCAATGAGCATGTTTTTGGGCTGAAATTATCAACCACCCAAAAACCCAACCTTCCTGGTATTTCACAAATTTTGAGATTAAACAAGGAACCAAAACCCATTTTGTGTATCTCCGTTTTCTGAGCTTCAGTCATCTCAGCGAGAGCTTTCACAATCAAATTTGGTGATGATTTGTTCTTATTGTCCTATACCTCGACTTGATCTCTTTAATGCTCTCTTTCTTATTTTTCTTGCTCATATTTGCAACTACCTCAGTTGCAACATCACCTTGACCTGGTTGCAATTCAAAATCATCATCACTTTGCTCTTGTACTACTTGGTTCCTCTTCCTCTTCAACCTACATTGGTTGTTTTCATGTTCATCTGTGATAGCTGATCGTATCCCTTTATTGTTCATCACCAGCTGCTGCATCTTACTTTCTCTAATCCCTATAATTTGAAAGGTAATGCACTATGTTTCATAAGCAATTCACTTTGAGGATTAACCTACATTGCTTATCTATGTTTCATAACCAATGCATTTTCATTGAAAATCAGTTGTACAACAGATTATCTTTATGCACTTTCACAACAAGAAATTTACTCTATTTGGGTGTACCAAAAATTATCAGTTGTAATACAGATTGTGTTCATGAAATATATAATGAAGTGATGCACTATATCATCATATGTATGAACATATTTGCTTCACTACTTCATGCACATTCCAAACTAATTCATTCATATCACAAGTTCACCAATGATATAAGCAATTGATGGACTGTTTCAATATTTGCTGATCTTAGTAATTAAGCTTTATGCACATTCACATATAATGTGAATTCCTAGCACTATAACAAAACACAATTTAACTATGCACTCTAAAGCTTTTTTTATCACATATCATTTCTGTTCATCAAGTAATTGAGAGTGTAATGCACTAATTCTTTATATCTATGAACTCAAAACCTTTTCTTCATGCACATTCGAAGAAGAACAATATTGGTTCACACCAACGCACAATTTAACTATGCACTCTACGCCTCTTTTATCACACAAACAAGCCTTTTCATATTACCCAATTATCTTAATTTTTCAATTCTTCATTCACTAAAACTTAAGTATTGAAATTTCTATGCCCTTTAATTACTTAATCCATTTTATCCCTTCTTTTCATCAAACAATTAAGTTTGTAATGCACTACTTATTCATATCTATGAACTCAAATCCTTTTCTTCATGCACATTCGAATCAGAACAATATTGCATCACACCAACATACTAGATATATGCACCAGTGCAAAAAAATTCGCAGTGTTTAAAAATTTTCATGATAAACGCTTCACAAACGTCACCAAAATCGTGTACCTTCGACATGCATTCAATCCATAACAAAAAAGTTTAAACCCAACATGTATATTCACCAAATCAAACAAGGTAATCTGCGTACCTATAGCACTCTTCGCACTTCCTGATGCTCGCTCGCTTTCGTTCGTCGTTGTCATCCTTATTCGAAGCCTACCTAGGGTTTCGCAGCTCGTGGACGCCTTCCTTCTTCAGTTCATCAACCTCTGTTCATTTCTGAGTAGGAGTCTGCACAAGGAAAGAACTCTTCTTTTTGAAATATAGCGGCACATTAACCGAGATTTGTTGCCATATACGAAGTGGTGCGTCCCAACCGCCATAATTAATCACAACTGCCTTTTACCAATATACCCTTATATTGGTTTCTCAATGCACGTTTGCTCCTTTTTTGCACGCACGCATCATGTGCCTTTTTTAATTGGCCCAATATGTAATCCGAGCCGCACGTTTAGAAAAATGGACGGGTTGATGTTGTTTTTTTCTCTCCTGGAAGCTCTATCTCACAGGAACCCTCCCCAATATATATATATATATATATATATATATATATATATATATATATAGAGAGAGAGAGAGAGAGAGAGAGAAAAAAAAGATCAGGTGAGAAATGCCCCTTAAAATGAGAAGTGAGAAGTAATCTCAGCCCTTGGATTTGCATGTGATCTTGCAACGCAGTAAACTTATAGACTGAATATAGGAACTTATAACCAATAAGGTTGTTTTTACTTGGACTGTAATTCATCCTAGACCAGACCAGACCAAAACAGACCAGACCAGACTAAAACAGACCAGACCAGACCAGCCATATTTTATTATTATTCTTATTATTATTATTATTATTATTATTATTATTAGGGGTGTGCACCGGTTCACAATTGGACCATACCGTACCGAACCGATCCGGATATCATTCCGGTTCGATCCGGTTCCGGTTTTTCCGGTCCGGTGCGGTCCGGTTTTCCGGTTTAAACCGGATAGTGCACGCCCCTAATTATTATTATTTTTGTTATTATTATTATTATAATTACTACTATTATTATTATTGTTATTGTTATTGTTATTGTTATTATTATTGTTATTATTATTATTATAATTATTATTCTGGTTCGATATGGTCTGTTCTGTTTTGGTCTGGTCTGGTCTGGTCTGATCTGTTTCGGTCTGGGATTGAAATCAGACCAAGTAAAATGATAACAATTTTCGATAATTTGGAAGGAATATTATTATTTTTATTTATAAATGAATAAAATATAATTATTTATGGATTATAAAATATATATAAAAAATAAAATCTTTATGCAAAAAATATAAAAAATAAAATTTCAGACCAGATCAGACCAGACCAGACCAGACCAGACCAAAACAGATCAGACCAGACCAGACCAGACCAAAACAGACCAGACCAGACCAGACCAGCAACTTACAGTCCAAGTAAAAACATCCTAAATCATAACTTATAAAGCTCTCCATCATAATTACGAAAATGCCACCGCGTCCAAAAAATTTCAAGGTTTCCAGGCTTATTTTTTTGCGGTGGCATTTTCGTAATTATTTTTGACGGGGTCTATAAGTTATGATTTATTAGTTAAAAGTTTGTGTTTTTAGTCTATTAGTTAAACTTCACAGTTCTCAGCCTAAGAACACTTCTCACTTATCCGCTCCCTAATATTCTATCGATGCATGAGATATTGAGATATACTATTCTTTTGAGAGTGTGACACAAGCATTAGCTTCCGAGAGACGACCAATGGAAGAAACCAAGCTAAAATGGAAGAAATCACGAATGAAGAAAACTTCGCTATATGTCATTGCTGCTTCACAACTTCTAGGGGATTGGTGGTACGGTGGTACCGTCACTTTTTAGCACTTTGCGGCCTCCGCTTTCTCAAAAATGATTTTTGGATTGCTAGATTCTCATGTCTGAAAGCGAATCCAAGCTAAACATCCTCCTAAAACTTCCATCAATTATATAGATCACTGAAAATGTGGTAAGACTTAATTAAATTGTATCATTATTGATGATGAACTAGACTATACTAGGAGCATGCGTAAAGCTTAACAGAAGGCAAGTTTAATTTTGTTCAACCATGCTCATTATTTGTGAATTAGCTTAACAGAAGGCAAGTTTAATTTTGTTCAACCATGCTCATTATTTGTGAATTAGCTTAACTAAGGCTATTGTGATATATAAGTGTATGTCAAAACTTAATTTGATATGGACAAGTAAAAAAACTTTGAAGCATCCTAGATGTTTGTGATATGCCCGAATGATATTTAAGGGTTACACAAATTGTGCATCCACCTCTGTGAATAGTAGTAGTGCATCATTAATTAGGCTATTCTAAATGAGTTAGTACTTACCCTAAATAGTACTTTGTCAAATTAAGCAACTAAAACATTCAATCACGGTTAAAAATTCATGTATGGATTTGAGCACACAAAAACAGGGTCTAATTACAAATAAATAGATACATGAAACAAAATATTTGATATATGAGGAAAATGTATTATACTCCCTCAGTCCCATTAAAAGAATTTCACTTTTCTTATTTGGGTGTCTCATATATGTAAAAGTTCACATTCCATTTTTGGAAATAATTTACTCTCTTTAATTACACACATCTTTACTCAAATTTGTCTTTCCTACTCGGTACATGTCAAGTCTCACAATTTCTCCTTCCCCAACTTATCTCTCTTTAATTACTTTCACTTTGTATATTTACTTTTTCTTAAAAAATTCTCTCTTTTTTGCCCAAATTGCTTTAATTAATCACTTGCCTAACAAATCGTGTCATTTACTCACGGGAACCTTTCAATGAGATGG